AAAAAATTAAAATCTATTTTGAAATAAATATAAAAATCCCCAGAAGTCCTGACATGGTAAACCTCCTGGGTATGCTGATAACGGTATTTTTACTTTCAGACCAACCTGTGGTCTTGCTTTTGAAAAAATGTATTTCTGTTTGGGATTGAAGCTGCTGAATTCTGATAAAAGGACACTTTGGAAAAAAATCTTTCTAGCACGTTATAGTTGTGAACAGACAGGAAAGTTTCTTTTCAGGTCATCAGCTTGGCTTCAGCCTTGAACTATAAGTACTTTAAAGGTAGCATATGAGACTCAAGAGGATGGAACTACAAAAGCTGAATTCAGACGAGACCTTGCTGTTAGGACTGCAGGGTCTTATTCTGGGAGCAGCTGAGGATATTCAGCTTCTACATACATCAGCAGAAGCTAAGATTGTTTCAGTACCTTTTGTGATTGGCTTCCTACATTATCAGTTAATCAACCTCCCGGGCCATGGATCCCAACAGTAATCACAAGATCCCTTCAGTTCACAGCCCGTGGCAACACTACAATATGTCAAGGAGATTAATCAGAAAGAATTCTTGGGTAGGTTAAAGAATTAATGACTGGATGTGGGGCCAAAAAAGGAAAAACAAAATCCAGCTTCTCTTTATTCTTTTAAAATTGGTTAGAAAAAAATTACTTTTAAATGAGCCATCAGAAGGTACAAGCACCTTGTTTCCCCTACATGTACTCAAATTGTTACACAAGGTTGGTAAATAGTGTTTGAAAAGTGTAGTAACACACTCCACATTATGTAGCAATTCCATTTGTTTCAGAGGTGCTGAAGACCCACTATGAACCCAGCACACATGGTTTCAAAATAACTGCACGTTCCACCTACTGTTAAAAAGTTATATCAACTCCTCTACCATGCTAAAAAATCAACAAACCTCACAGAAAAGTGCAGTCTCCAGTTACCCTGTTTTTAATCAAAAAGCCCGGTTTAATAGACTGGATCCCAGGTTTCTTAAAGTTACATTTTTTCCTTGAGGATTAGTCACTCACAATTCTTGTACTAAAATAACCATATATAGAGCCGGAATATTTTTGAGAGGTAACTTGATTTCAATATTTAAGTGACTTCACGGAGAGAAAATACAAGATAGGAACAACTTTTTAATGTAAGAGAAAAAGCTGTGGCACAGTGGCTTGAGGCTGAAAGCAGATAAAGTCCAATTAGAAATTTGGTGTGTATTTATAACAGTGAACATAATAAAACACAGGAACAAAGTACCAAGGGAAACAGGTAGTTCACCGCCTCAAGTCCTCCCAGCCACTGCGCTTTAGTTCAGGGGTGCTCAGTGTTCTGCCTGCAGGCCAGATCCAGCATTGAGTTAATGATTCTCAAGGACTAACATCACTGGACCAGACATTGTGTACAGATGCCCAACTCTCGACTCCCAAAACAAGTGTTCTACTCCCAGTTTAGTAATGGCCTGAGTTTTTGCAGCGGCCAGAGGAAATACTACAAGGACACGTTGAAGGCATACCTCAAGAAAACAGATGCCAACATCAAGAGTTGGGAGGAGTGAGTTAGCTGCCAACCGCCTGAAACAGCACTGCTACCTCAACCACGCAGCAGCCTGTTTCAAGGTCAAGCATCTTGCCCTCGAAGCAGACAAGAGAGTGGGGGGAAGGAAAAGAAGAATGCCAGCCTGCCGCCTACTGTCCCCTGAAGAAAGACCTGCAACTTCTGTGGATGGGTATGTGGCTCAAGGATCGGACTCTTAATTAAGTCATCAATGAGCCATGGTAGAGATCATCTTTGAATCGAAGGATTGCTGCCACCGCCGAGGCCAGATTCAGCCTGCAGAGGCACATTATCGGAGTTCAGGGTAGATAAAAATCAATTACTAAAAAAAAAAGGAAGAAGAAAAATTGGGCTTTTTATTTAAATCAATTTTTTTTTATTTAATCATATTTGGGGGGGTTAAGATGCTTTAAAAAAATAAATGTTTATATAGTTTTAATTTAAGATATGTTAAAGCTCAAAGATATCACCATGGAATAAGGATTATAACTTCTAGTTATATACTATTTGAGACAATATAGTCATGTAACCTTTTTTAGAAGTGTTATAAATAGGTCACAACAGGCCATGGACTGTATCAGGGGCCCAATCTTATGGGGTTCCTAGAGGCTCCTCTATAGATTAGTAAAGATTAAATAAACCACTCTACCCAATGGGACTCAATGCTCAGTCTAGATAGAAGATCCCATTAAACATCCCTGTGATGCTCAGTTTCAGTTTTCAAACCACTGATTTGTGTCTCCAGAGATCATAGGCAGATGAGGTTCTTTGGGTAGATGTGATATCTTCCATTAAACCAACTAAATAGTTGGAAAAAATGTTCTTTGCAAGCTTTCAGATACAAATGCCCTTCTTCAGGCACAGGGAGTTTGTCTCCAGAGATAGCATCCTTATTAACAGCAGTATATGGAGACGAGAGATAACAGACCGTACCCATCCATCAGCCCTATTGCCTCTGCAAGTTTGCATACACAGTCAAGCCCTTACCTTTCTCTAAAAGTGCAAAATTTCAAGACATTAAATGAATGAAGGATATCAAACAGGAATACACTTTTTGTAGAAAAGAATGATTACATTGTGATTTCCTGACCCATGACTTAAATCACGATTTAAATTGATTGGCTTTAAATCAAATCCACCCTGTTGGATCTGAAAATTGGGCAGTGAGGGAGCTGTGGCAGCAATGCTGCTCCCCTGCTGCCCAAAGTCTGGACCTGTGGGAAGCCCCGTGGGCTGGATAATATTACCCTGCCCGCTATCAGTCATGCTGGGTTGGGTGGACATGGTGTGGGGGACCAGTCCCATGTGGCCAAAAGGCAGAGCACCCTGCCTGAGTTAAACATGAGTCCCTGTACTCAGGGGCTTTTGGGTAAGACTCCTTAACCCACAGGGGATCAGACTAGACCAGGGGTCGGCAACCACCAGCACATGTGCCAGAGCATGACACCTGAAGCCATTTTGCTTGGCACTCCACAGCTGGCCTGGGCTCTGGGCAGCTGCTGCTGGCCATGGAGCCCAGGCTCCATATGCACCTGTGTGTGTACAACAGGGAAGGGGCTGGGCTTGCACTACCCAAGCCCCCTTGCCCACCATGCACCCTGAGGTGCATGTGTAGCTGCTGCTGCCACAGAGCCCAGGCTGCTTGGCAGCAGGCTGGCAGCTGTACTCAGGTCTGGAGCCCTGGCCCAGCAGCCAGCACCTCAGGGTGCACGGTGGAGAAGGGGCCGGGGCAACGCAACCCCGGCCTCTTCCCCACCATGCTCCCCAATGTGTGCATGCAGTCACTGCCAGCAACGAGCTGAGCCAGGGCTCTGGGCACTGATGCAGCCACTTGCAGGTCTAAGGCTACCTGCTGCAAGCAGCCCAGGCTATTTCATGTAGCCCAGCCCTGCTCTCCTGCCCTTTCTTTGTAGCCCACTACATGGACTTCCCTTGTGGGGAGGGATGCCCCAAGCTCCCTGCCTTGCACTGCCTATGCCCAGCAGCCAGCAGCAACTCTCCCTTGTCTTTCCCTCCCCTCCAGGAATGCTGCCCCCACGCATTTGCAGCTGGTGGGGTTATATTCATTTGAATGGTGGCTCTAGATTGTATAATTTGCTCTCTGAGGGGAAGTGACTGCAGCTTTCTCCATTTTCCCTCCTGCCATTTTTTCCTGCGTGCTCTGTCCCTTTGCTCAGCCAATACCTTGTGATTCAGGAAGAGGCAGGCACTGGACGGCTGCTGCAGCTTCTGCCTGGATGAACCCTGGTGGAAGGGGGACAGCCACTGGCCCCTGGAGCAGCTCCCTCTCCCCCCTGCATGGGGGTGGCAGTACTACCAGGTGTACAATAGTGATCATATTTGTATGATTTCAACCCTTGTACAATCAATAATAGCAGAAGTGTTAAAAAATTATATTTTTTGATGCAGCTGATTGGTGCAACATATGCAAAGCCCACATCAGTCTCAGAGAGTCTTAACTGACTTCTGGGTTTGCTGTCAGTGCTTCCTTAGCCCTGCTTCCCTCCAAAGAAATGCTTCAACTTTGACCCAGTTCTCATTCACTCACTCCTGTTACAGTGAGCAATATAAAGTAGATAAGATTTATTTGCATACTTCTTTGCGGGTTTTTTCAGTGTAGGATAGTTTTTTCTTCAGCAAATAGGATCATTTCGAGCTTCTAATCCAATCATTTCATATTTAAGACCTGGCAAAGCTGGGGGCGGGGAGAGCCTGGGCTGCTTGTAGCAGGTGCTGCACCAGGGAGGTAGCCCTGCCCGGCCTGGCTGGCTCCTGGTGCCTTGGGGCGGGCGGCGAGGAGGCCGGCCCAACCAGGCTCAGGCTCAGGCTCAGCGTCCTGCTAACATCTTGCGAGCCCCGGCGGCGGGTTCTCGGCCCAACCCGCTGGACTACACCCTCCTTTGGCCCCTCTCGGCTTAAGATCCGTGTGCCCCCCGCCCCCGCCGGGCCCGTCTCCGGGCCCAACCTCCGATCCCGCAGCCGCCCTCACGCGGCCCCGGCGGCCCCCGGACCCGCAGTAGTGAGTGGGGCCGGCGCAAGCAGGGGGGCGCTGAGCCCGCCCAGGCCTCGCGGGGCCCGGAAACAAGCGCG